GTGGAAGCTGGTTTTCATTTTGTGTGATCGTTCCAAGATGTTTCTGCACTATAGTGCGGTCATAAATTCATGGTGCAACTTATTGTCAAATACAACGTATCTCCCCAACTATCGAACATAAACTCTCCAGCTTTGCTCAGAGACTTGTTTCAATTTGTCTTAATATATCAATATTTTTGCAAAGACCTGTTGGTTCTGTTCTAGAAAGTTCCTAAATAAATACTAACAAAAAAAATCCTAGCGGGAGGCTTCTGCTGATTTTTAAAAGTTTACAGCTGGGACGATATCGCTTTTAAAAGCAATTCCGTCATTGTTTTTTTTTCTAATAAATTTATGAAGAAAGGTTTTTAAGTCTAGCCTCACTTGTTGTGGAAAAATATGATTAAATTAAGACAAATTGAGACAAACTGCAGTGCAAAGTATGGGTGACATTGAGTCACCTAAGTGTTATAAAGATATTGAGGATAAGTTGCGCCACGAATTTTTGACCGCACTATAGCTATGGATGTCTTGAACTTTGGGAATGTTTTAGTCTTGAGTGATTACAAAGAGAGACCCATTTCAGTGTGGCTTAGTGGTTTTGCAGAGGACAGATCATTAAGGTTGAGTTTGCACACTTTGTTCAGTATAGGTGCAAGGAAGTGTGGTAACCGATCTGTATTGGAGCTTTTCTGTGAATCCATCAATTCTTGCTCTAAACAATCTTAATAACAGATCCTACTGAGTCTGGTGCAACACTCCAAGTTATTGAACTAAATAATGTTTAATGTGGTCAGAATGAAGGAGAGCGGAGGGGGTTGCATAGGAAATGGGTAGGCTCAGTAAAGACGTCTGTCTCTTTTTTTGCTTTAGTAGAGGTTTTGCGGTGCTCGCAACTGTATAAGGTCATATGAGCGCGTAGGGGTGGATGTCAACAGAGAAGTCTTTATAGGGAATCAGGCTTACTCTGCTCACCTCTCTAGCTTCAACAGCACAAATTCTGCTTCGACTATCAATGCACCCCGGAAATAGCGAGTCACAGGAGTGTGACAAACATACAAATGAAGTAGAGGAAAGTGACGATAGTAAGGATAGGAAAGAAATGGCAGTAGATCCTGTTGCAATGAAGGCACAGTTATGAGGGTGGCATTGTTGAATCAGCCCATTTACAATTCTACTGTGCATAAGAACAAGTTCTTTGGGAATGGCCTAAAGACACTTCAGTCAGTAGCGTTGTTGAAAAGGTTGATATAAAGGTCGAGGAAAGAAGTAGGTTTTCCTTTATCCTTAGAGGTTAAGGTGGGAGGAGGCAGTCTGAGAAATGCCTTCCTTTGTCTCTCTCCCCCACTCTCTCTCTCTCTCTCTCTCTCTCTCTCTCTC